TAAGTAAGTAAGTAAGTAAGTAAGTAAGTAAGTAAGTAAGTAAGTAAGTAAATTAGGGTCAGGGTTAATTATATCAGCTTTGGATGACTGTGACTCCCTATACAGAAAATGGCAGCAGAAAAAAGCAGAAAAAGACAATAGCAGAAAAAGACAATAGCAGAGCTATTGTCTTCCCATTAAGTATAATTTGAGTCATGAGTTTGGATCCAAATTTGGAAAATCCAAATCGATTTTCATTTTGACATCTTCTGTTACTAGGTCAGTAACAGAAGTCTGTGAACTTTTTCTCTTAGCTTCAAAATGCTTCACGTCTCATAAAAACATTTCTAGAGTTCTGCATGGAGGGAAGGATCAGCTGATAAACAGAAAGGGTCATCACAGGCTGACCCTCTGGCCAATGTGAGAGTCGTTAGAGTCAATCTCATCTGTAGATTGTCGAATTGGTTGAGAGGCTGTGTTTTGATCACATGATCCAGGGCGTGAATTCCTATGAAACTGTCTATGAAGGAGATACACTGCTGCATTGGAAGTGCTGGAAGGTGATACCTGAGACTCCCTTCTCCGTTAAAAGTTGAATTTTACAGTTTAACATAAATGGGCTGTTATCATTCTCCTACCAGCTGTCTCCTCTGTCCAGAATCTGGACAATTATCTCTTTAAATGTGTGTCCCTTCTCTTTGAAGTGGATGTCAACGGAGCCATGTGCTTTCTGTTGTTTGTCTCTCCTAAATGGAGGTCCTCACACTCTTTCCTCCACTCTGCTCTGTATCCAGCGCTGATCAGTTTGTTGTTCGGTGATTAACCCTAATCCTAAAACCCTAGAAGCCTCATGGATGGGAGATGAAAAACCCCCAGGATCCAAGATGCCCAGTTGCCTTTACTGAGGCTCTAGGGGTCCCATGATGTGGATGAGAATCTACCCCAGCAAAGTGTCTCACTAGATGGCATCAGAGAGTCATGAAACACTCATTAATTGCGTGTCAGAGCTACTGACTTCATCTATTAATCAATTTTATTTACAGAAGTTTCATCTTCTAGGATGTCATGACTGTGTTTCAACTCAAACTCAACTGCAAAGTAGACATAAATTAAATCAAACACAAGCATCAAAGGTTGTTCTAAATGGTGACCTGAGCATGTGGGCAGACGTTAAGAGTCGAGCTAAAGCGTAAGAAGACGTTCTGACCTAAGGAACACGCCTTCTGTAATTTAACGTCTACTATTGGCTCATCTTCGTTTTTAACCCTCCAGCAGATTACCTAAGGTGGGAGGCTTTGAGTTTTGACCTATGACAACTGTTTTTGACTGCTCACTTGATTTTTTTTTTATCACACATGACCGACACAGCGTCACAATGGCAAAAGAAAAAAAAAAGATGGATGGAAAGTTGAGCACAAGCGTGGTTGTGTGGTCAGAATGAGGTGTGAATCTACAAGATTTTTTTTTCTTCTCATGTTTTGAACGTTTCACTGCGATGGAAGCAGAGTACAAGTATAAAAGATTTTATTGAAACAGGGGTACAAGAATAAATTCAGACTGTGTGTAAGTAAACAACAGTTGCGTATTAAATGCCTCCACTGCGGTGATCATGTGTGTTGTTTTTTTTGTTTTTTTTTTTGTTTCTACTGCAGATTTTTATTGTTGTTCTATTTTAAAATCCATTTCAGTCGGGGGGACGCTGAGAAATAGAAGTAGCTCTAAGTAGCTTCCATCAAAATACCTGTTTTTTTTGTAAAAGTCATAAACATATTGTGAACATCTCAAACAAATATGTATAACATTGATTGGAAGATTTTATCTTTAGGCCTCTGATCTAACCTCCGGACACAGCCAACAACACACAATGTAGTTCCTTTAATCATTGGTCTAACTTTGAAACAGGTTTCTATTGTTCAGCCACCCACGAGTCAAAGGTCTGGTGCTTGACGGTGAGTGAAGTGATATAATCTGACTTTAGTTTAAGAACTTCACTCACAAGAATCATAAATATATTATATTTTCTTTTAATTACATCCATCCATTTTCTGATTGTGAGACAGGTCACGTCAGTAAAATAAACAAAAATTATTCATTTGAAAACTAAAATTACGAGGTGACATAGAAATGACCATTCAAAGTAGCTGTGGTTGTGTGGGAGGAGAATGATTTAAGCGGCATTTTTGTAGGTCTGCGCTAAAAGGGTTTCTGGGAAGGTGGAGTGAAAATGAGAACATCAGATGAACAGTTTCGGCTAAATTTAGCCTGTGGAGACTTTTTGTACACTTCAAGTGCAATATCCTGTTGATAGCCGCGATGTGTTTATTCTAAGTGAACACGGCAGGTGGTTTGAGCGAAGCAGAGAAACGGCCAGCCACAGCCTACGTCTTGCAGCTCGGCAGCCACATGTGGCTTTGCTGCTTATTCCACAGGTTGCAATGCACAATACAGCGGCGCTTCTTAATTAGGAAGTGAGCCTTTGGTACCTCAAGTCAAGAAAATTTCACACTTGCATTCAAGCTCGCAAAAAATCAGAAAGAAGTAGCTTGCCTTTGCAACAATGTAGTCAAAAGACACTTCAGATCGTAGCTGTAGCTGCAAGTTTAATGCACTTTCTGCAAATTGGAATATTTTGCTTAATCAAAAACTTGTCTAATTGTGTAAAAATAAAATGCTTCCTCTTCAGAGATGCAGTTTTCATTATACTTTTACCCATGTAGAAATGTTTGAGAAACATAAGCGTGCACACATGCAAGCTTCAGTTCAGGAAGGTGGGCCTCACTCAAGTTTTTGGCCACACTGCTAAGTCTCGTTTCATGGTCTCACTGTTACACAGTTATATTTAGTGCATGTACTGTAAATGTTCTGTAAAGCATTTTTCTATTGACAGTTATCGCCAATTTTCTCTAAATGTTCAGTAAAACTGTTGATAATTTAAACTACTTATAAAAGTAAGCTCTTTCGTTGTAATTAATCATAAATCTTTTTCTATGAAACAACAACAGCATATTAAAAATATAATTAATTTGAGTAGATTATTTTCTATCTTATTCAGAAAACTCACACAATCTGTTATATCTAAAGTCAGAATCTCCCTTCAACAGAGAACGAGAACGGTGTCTCATGTCCGTGACATTCGTAGATGAGGAAACGACCTGACTTCTCTTAAGTGGTAAAACCCACCTACAACAATGCTGACTGCAACCTTGTGTTATCAAAGCGCAAACTTTGCTACCCGATGCGCTTTGAGATAAGAGCAAGGACTGGATTGATTGGTGTTCGGTTTTCAGTCAATTTCTTCTCAAATGACAAAAGATGCGGTTTTTCAGTTGATTCTATGCCAACAATTTTGTTGACAAAAAGGTTTCTGAAAAAATCCAAGTAAGAAATGATTGTGGTTCATTTTCCGCTTCTAAGATCACATAACAGAGAAGTTTTTTTTTGGTGCTACATTAAACTGGCTGCATTGATTTGTGTTTTTCTACAAGAAAATGTCTCAGTGATGGATCGCACCATATTTGTTTTTCTCTTTTTGACCCCACACTGATGAGTTGCTACATCTGTGCGAGAGCCCATTACCAACTTGCATCAAACTTGACCTTTCCAAATGCCAACGAAAGCTCTAAATAAAACTTCAGATCCTTGGCATTTTGAGTAGTAAATTCTTTAGTTGTTGGGCTAGAAAACCACAGGACATAAACCAGCCCTTCTTTTGAAACTGATGGGTGATAATACAAAA